TGAATATGACTACAAATGGTTGGACTGTTTGCGGGCAATAGAGGACCCGAACCTGTTTGTAGAGTTGCCCCCAAACGGAAACACCGAGATATGGACTGAACCCGTGTTTGGCACTCAATTTCTACCAATTTTACCCCATAAAGCATTTGAAAACGGTTTATACAACTCGGGTAAGAATATAAAGTTTACTAAATAATTAATTATTTATACTTATAATTACAGTAGTTCATGCAAGCACATTTTAATAAATGCCAATTTTGTGAATAAACACAAATGTGAAGGTTATTTAGGTTCATAACATTGATTTATTCATACGAGTAATAGTTAACTGTATTACTAATACAATTATTGCTTATAGATGTGGAACTGATAGCCGGTGCGACCAAAGACGAGGGCTATTTGCTGTCCCGCGGGTTAATACCAGAGATGCGGTCACAACTCACAGAACAGCTGTTCCGCAAAGCGGTCGGCGTTTTGAGCGACAAATACCGTAACATAGATGTGGACAAAGTGTGCGATCATTATCTCAATGGTGTTCACAAAACCAATTCATCGCAATTGAAGGCAGCGTTGAGTGCATTGTATGGCGATCTGGTGTTCACGTGTCCCACCTATAGGTTTGCCAAAGCGTACGCCAAGAGTGGGCAACGGGTATATTCCTATCGGTTTAATTTCCACACTCGCCTGTGGGTTGATTATTATGGTTGCCCGCAATGGGCCGTATGTCACGCCTCCGACGGCGACTTTATATTTGGTAAAATACTACGTAAACCGCATTTGTTTACCGAAACTGATTATGACTTTAGTATAGATGTGATAAAAATGTGGACTAATTTTGCAAAGACTGGGTATTCGTTTTGATTTGAATTTAATTATTTATTATAAATAATAATCTAAATTAATCTAGACTTTTTTATTAACTAGATAATACTGTAGTTATTAGAATTATTTTGTTAATTTTATTGTATTTCAATTTAGTAATCCATTTAGTATTTATTGTATTATAGCTAAATGTGTGGTTCATTAATTATAATTGTATTTATTTTTAATTGATAGCAAACCACACGATGTTTGGCCACAAATGGCGGACAACTCTGTTATAAGAGTAAAAGACTTGAATCCCAACGATATGTCACTTATTCTCGAGAATCCACACGAGAGTACATGTGATGGCATTTGGAGTGATTATTATTGATCTACAAATTATTATATGTATAGTTAATTGAAATATTTAAAATGAAAAAATCATTAATAAATTGAATTGTATTAAATTCACTAAACATTTGTCGCATTTTTACTTTTTTACCGACAGTCGTTTTCCTGTTACTTAAGGTACGCCCTGTAGAGCAGCGGACGTCTGACGAATTCCCTCTCGGTCTCCATCAGAAAGAGCAGGTCTTTAAGAGTTACCCGTTTTATTCGTCGCATCGGATTTAAGCCACTTTTGGCGCCCGACGTGAACGACGAGCTAAGGCTGGACGCCATCGCCGACTGAGTGCCGCCACCCGTGGTGTTGGTCGCCGTCCAATTCAAACTAGTCTTCAGTCGTTTCGGCGGCACTCCTATGGCCTGCAGTGCCGTCTCATTGACCTCGCGTTGCCGGAGCTCTTCCCACTCCTGGCGCCGCATCTCTTTGGCCCTCTGTTTGACGGCTCTGTGGTCGAGATCGTCGGCTTTCGGTCGACTTTTGGCGCCTTTAATGAAAACCTCGCGCTCCTGTACTTCATGTCTGCGTTTCTCGATTCTGTCCAACTCCTGAAGGAACGTCGTCTGACCCCTCACGTCCTGCACCACCTCGTAGTGGCCGTAACTCTTCACCCGTTCCAGTCTGTGCTCCGCAAACGCACCCAACTTCTCGACCAGTGTCTTGAGCCGCGCCTGAACCGCGTGCGACACCAGTGACACCACTTCCGTCGAGCACTCATCCAAACCGTATTTACTCGCGATCTCATTGATCCGCTTTTGCAACGAATTGGTGAACAGAAAGTCTTGGTCTTCACACGAGCGGATCTGTTGACCGACAGTCTCGGCGTTGGACAGAATACGTTGGCTCTCCTCCTGAAGGTTGACGCCTCCCATCGCCGCGACGTCATTGATGTCGTGGTCGTCGCCCAAAGTGGACGACAAGTTATTGCTATTCTTGTCCTCTTTGTCTTCGGCAGCGCTCGACCGCAAAGACTGTGCGCTTGTGGTGGCCATCGAAGGTGTGGAGGCGGCCACCGGTGGTCTCACCATTGCTTGCGGCGCCGGTAGGCGTTGGGCACCCGTTTGGGTGATCGGTGTGAACACTATGACCGCCGGACTGCCTATAGTGCCGCCCATTGGTATCAATAGGTGTACGGTTTGGCCCATACATTCCATACGGACTTTTTAGTTTCAATTTCCAACAAAAATTGCAATAAGTTTTGAAAAACTAATTACAATTACTTTACAAACAAATTCATTAAGTTTATATATTGATTTTTATTTATATAAATAATTATCTATATTTATTAAAATGCTATTCTATGTATGCAAAGTGTGTTCGGACTTATACTAGTACAAAACACAGAATATATAACCAAACGTAAGTATTTCGTTAATAATATTTTTAATGAGATTCACTGATAAGGGGTTGAGATGTTGAGATCTCTCTCTCTCTCTCTCTCT